CATTGTGTGATTTGGATCGGCGCACATGCAGTGAAATATGTAGGGGATTTGGGACGTTTACGTGTATATCGGTACACACAATATAAAATATGTTTACATTGATTTAACGTAGTATTGACCATGTTGTTTATTACATGCTTCACTTTTCCTTTGTTGGCAGCTACCGTGAGTTTTCCTTTGTTTACATTAGACGCAGTGAAAATGTAATGGCAGAAATGTAATCTCGTCACTGAACACAAACAATCTTATAACACTAGGTGACAATCATCATACTTTGAGGCACTTTCATAATAACCTTCTAGGAACTACCCCAACGTGCTCCCACTGCCCTCATCAACTTTCACACATAAACTCTTACCAGGTTTTTCAAGTTTCTTCTGGAAGTAAATTCTTCTCATTTTATTTAACTGTTCCATTTTCTTGTCAGCCATTTCCTTCTCAGATTGTTTGCGAGCAAAGTTTCCGTACATCAAAGAATTATGTCTGAAAGGAGATGTAAATAATTACGTACCATATATACATGTACTTCTAGATGGAGAAAAGCATACCAGTGGTACCAGAAATAGGGTTTTCTCTAGAAAAAAAACTGCAAGAAGGAGCACTGCAATTCAGCGGCGCCACCAAGTGGGGGGAGATAGGGTTCTCCTTACCAGGGTGTGGAGTTTTTGTTAAAATGGAATATTTTATGGCTTCCTTGGGACCGAAATTACTATCAGACAGGTCACAGTTGAAGACTGTGGCCACAAGTGATCCCTGGTCAATCAGAATTTTATGGTTGCCAGAGGATCTGCTCCCCAGGGTAAGGGGGTGCATGGCCATGGCGCTGCGCCAGTGTTGCCTTGTTTTAACAAATCCCTGAGATATACATGTAGAGAAAAGCACACCAGTGGTACCAGATATACATGTACTTCTAGGTGAAGAAAAGCCTACCAGTGGTACAGTGATATTTGATTCATTGAGAGTCACAACTCTTGCAATATACTCACTCTTCTAGCTGTTTTCTCATCTGTATCTGTAACTCATTATAGGGCAATCCATAGTGAGCAGTCTGAAGTTTAGGATCATCTTTGATAGATTCCAATACTGGAAAGTAACAAGATGAACTTATTAAAATTTTAATAATATGTGTCAATTTTGATTAAAATAATAATTATGAAGTATAGACTTATTAGATCAAACATTATGAACTATATTTCAGAAGATCATAAAAAATGAATCTGCAACCCAATCATCAATAAAAGTTAGCAGTGATATTTCACAGAACATGGTAGATGCTTGGAAGATTCAACTGCATAAAATTGGGAGTGTCTGAGATTATCGCAGTATTCAAAAATGAAAAATACATATCAATCAAGAACACTAGCAAAAACAACCCAAGATAAACATAAATCAGTTCTTTCACAGAATCACACGTTTGCATTAGTATGTACGTTTGTCATCTGATCATCCTCACAGGTTGTGTGACTGCTTCATCACATATCACACCATTTACGTACTCTCATTCTATAAACCCATGATACACAGTTACTCAGCAGTCACATGAACATGTGAACAACTTACATGGGTTTTTCATTTCTGATTTGGGTTTAGAGGTAGCTATACCAGCCCAGGTTGTGTGGTAATCATCAAATGATATACGGAATAATCTTCGTGTTGCGGTTTGCGTTGTGTGTTTGACTTCCTCCTTTGGTGGTCTCTTTTCTTCATGTGGTTTCCAACCAGCTATATATACAAAACAAAATATAAAATTAGTTCATTTCACATTCAAAACAACTCATAGAAAAAATAGATTTGTTTGTGTTTCTGATACGTTCAAACAAACAGTGTGATCATGTGATTTTTTTTATTTTCACAATATTTTGGCAGAACCCTATCCCCCCCAAAAAATGTTGAGCGTCCCCTTTTAAACTAGCACATGTGCTGACCAGATAACAAATCATTTCCTGTCTTATGACAAAGCTGACTGTCAATAGTCACAGAGTGGAGATAACCACATACTTAAGATGATTAATTAAAACAAAAGTCAATGGTGTTTGTGATCTGTAATGCATGTGATTAAATCTTCGTAAATTTATTTGGGGATGGCTGCGACGACCAAGTTTATAGATGACACCCTCGCTACCTTCCCTCATCAGATACATCTAGTACCAAAAACAACAAAATTCACACTCATTCCCACATTTCCATTATTTGGGGTAAGCTGACGACAACCCAGACTATTTGTGCTAAATTTAAAAAACATTTTCACAAGGCAACATACAAAGCATGATGGACAGAGATACAGATGTATAATAAATAGGTTATGAGAATAATGCAAAGTATGCCCTCAGGCACTACGTGATCACACCAACAACCAATACTCATCATTCGCAGTAATGTCTTGATACATACTTTGTGGTATTTTTTTTTCATGTGCCACACTCTCTCCCCTCCACCCTAAAACAATTATATAAACATATTATGAAGACTTAAAGTGCCTGTGCAATGCCCACCCACACGCTTCCCATTTTAGATCTGTGCCCCACTGAAGTGGGCAATTATTGATTTTTTTGCTGAAAATGATTACTCGTATCCAAGTAAATTTGAGATATTTCCCGTGCTGTAGCCACGCCCACCTATCCTGAAACGGTCGACTGTTTCCGGATTTCCGACTCTCGCCGAAAGTGCGCCACCAAATGCAAAAATATGAGAGGAAGCCATACCCCTGGGCCGTACTTTTATATCACTGTGTCATTCAACGTACAACTGTACTTTTAAACGATATACATTTTTTAATCGGCGTTTCTTTTGTCTATTTTATTTTATTTTTGAGAGAGTGAATTTTTAGAAGTTGTTTTCACAACAAACTTTTATGATGGTTAAACGTTGTGGTGTGGGCGGTTGCAGTAATACGTATAGTCATAGTATAAGTATTTCCACATTTCCAATCGATCCGAAGGTGCGAAATCGGTGGACGAAAGTCGTGAAAATAACGAGAAAAGGTTGGGGTGGATTTCCTCGTAACAGCGTCATATGCAGTGTCCACTTCACCTCAGATTGTTTTCTTTTTTTGAAAAACTGTCCTTGTCCATGACAAAACAACTAGGTTTTAACGAGAAAT